AAAAAAAAAAAAAAAACAAGACTCTACTTTTGACAGAAAGTAGATGAATATGGAAGATTTACTACTGAGTGAAGGCCAGGCTATGAAGGAGAGACATTGTATGTCTCCACTTAATATATACTAAGTGTCCATACTCTATGGCAGAAACTGAATGACTAGAGGGTATAGAAACATAGAAAATGGTAATAAATACCAGACACAGTGTGGGAAGAGGGTAGGTAAAGGAGAAGAGTCTGAAGAAAGACATTAAGGAATAAAATAGAGAGGCAAGGCATTTACGGGACAAAGAAATGGGTTATTATCTGTTGTGATAACATGTATATTATTCTCAACTGGTGAGAAATGTATACATGCTGGAATATTCACTTTGCAAGCTAAAGTGACATATGTGATTGAATGTATAAAAGAAATCAAAATAAAAATATTTTAAAAAATAAATAAAATAATTTTTTTTTTAAATTGTAAGTTTTGCTATAGGAGAGAGAAAGTGAGAAATTCCCCCAAAAGTGAATGGCCACACCACAATCCCTTTTCCTCCACTCTTTTTTCAGGATTTGGGGCACATATACACACCCATCTGGTATTTTTTTTAAACTGTCGAGTCTGGAACTGAATACTCAGCTATGTGGAGTCCCACTGCCTTAACTTCCATGCCACCTGCTGGTTCCAATGCCTATTTTACATATAGGTTGATTAAAATATATTAATAAACGAGTGTTGATGGTAAAAACAAATCAGCTGCAAGTCCAGCTGCACAGCTTTTCTGACACCAGGGAAGGCTGTCTCTGTTTAAACTTAACTGTACATCTGTACTTAATTTCTAATCCTTGTTCATTATAACTATTATTAATGCATTTTTTTTCAATTTTTTCACACAAAATTTGAGTTAGTAACCTCTGTCCATAGGAAATCAATGAATAAAGTTACATTTTTAAATAATTTCTAGACGAGTGCATTTAAGTTTATGTGTCTAAGTATGTAATTATTTACAGTGGAATTAATTATCAATACATTTGAACAAACGTAGTCCACAACCAACTCACTACACAGTATAGGGCATTTCCCATCAACCCCCCAAATTCTCTATTTTCTCTCTTGTACATGATAAGTCAATGTATATTTTACACAGAGAAGATTCTAATTTTGACTCATAAATTTTTTATTCTAATTTTATACATAGCTTTGATTAAAATAATATAATCTTAATTATGCATATTTGATCTCTTCACTCTAGCATTCTCTGAGAAAAATCCAGATATCTAAATGCCCGTTTTACTCACCCTAAATTAGTTGATCTTTCTTTTTCCTCTCCTTTTGCTTATATTTCTCAATCCCTTGCCCTCTGCATTTATTTCTTATCCTTCTGTTTTTCATTCTATCCTTACCTCTCTAGTTTTCAATTTTGTGTTTTTACTCCTGAACCTCTTTTAAATGTTAGGCTTATATGAGCTTCTGATCATAGTGGAAAAGCTTTTGCTATTTCACCATTGAGTATGATGCTAGCTGTGGGTGTATGAGTGTTTCACATATAACCTTTAATATCTTGAAGGTGCCTGTGGTTGTTGACAGTTTCCTTTGAAATCTTTAAAATGAAAAATGTATAAGGGTAATAATATGCAATTCTTTCAAATAAACCAGTTATTGAAATCTCTAGCTCATTCTAAAAGGTATTTATATTATTTGGAGTTAAACCAGATAACAGAAATCTCTTGAAAATTTATTGCTGGCATCCTTAATGCAGGTGATTATTTATATAAATTATAGAATTGCTGAGAAGACAGACATTTGTCAGTGAAGATCCAAGACATTAGAAAAAAGAGGAAGGAACATAAAATCTAGATCAATAAAACAGAGAGGCACCAGCAGTGCAGTCAAATCTTAAGGATGTAAGCTTGAAAAATACACCAGGTGCATCATGCATGTGCCTGCCCAAACTCCCAAGAGAAAAATAAAGAAGGGATTATAATGTGACCATCTTCTCCCTCTCCCCAGGGAATGATTGATTTCTCCCTTTCCCTCTCTTTATGCCTCTCTCTAGTGAGAACACACAACAAATAACATACACACACACACACACACACACACACACACACACACTACAATAAAAAAGACATAAGACTTATTATCTAGGGGAGACATATCCTGTAAAGTCTATTCCACATGAGATACAGTGCAAAAGAAAATTATGAGTCAGTGCTTCCATGAGAAGGGAATGCTAGAGCTTAAGGTGGAGACTCTAGGTCCAATCTTACTAAATGAACTCTCAGCTCTTGTGATTATCTAAAAGGTAGTTCTACTATTTGCTAGTGAGGCACTTTCTAGTACTAGAAGTGGTTATTTAAGTGATGTGTCCATGAAAATAATTAACTGTAAAATATTTTAAAAGGTTTATTCAGAGCCTTATATGGATCCATTGCCTAGGAAACACAAGCTCAAATAGCCTGTGAAAGTTCTCCTGGGTGCTTAAGTACATAGCTTTATGCTTAGGTCTGAAAGCAGGAGAAGCAAGAAAAACC